AAAAGTAGTCAGTTCCCATCTGACAAAGAGCGATGTGGAGGATTCGAGTTCGGAGGAAGAAGAGCTAGAAACTCCAAAAGCGAAAAAGAAGAAGAGGATGTCGAAAGTAGTTGGTTCCCATCCGTCAAAGAGCGATGTGGAGTATTCGAGTTCGGGGGAAGAAGAGCTACAAACCCCAAAAGCAAAGAAGAAGTTGTCGAAAGAGTCGAGCAAGAAGAAGAAAAAGAAGAAATCCAAAAAGAATGAAAAGAAAAAGGAACCTCAAAGCCCAACATCGGAAAAGGTTGTTTCTTTGGATAAGGAAGAAAAAACTTCGAAAAAAGAAACAAAAAAGAAGGCATCGAGTGCGGAAACACCCTCCGAAAGCACGAGCGAAGACAGAATGCCTTCGTACGAAGAAAACGGTCTCGGAAAGAGCGCCAGGGCGAAGAAGAAGAAAGCGAAAAACCGAACTGCAACGTTGTAAAAAAGTAAATAAACTAATGGCATGGGTACTAGCCAAGACATGTGTTTGAAGCATGCTTTTTGAAATCCCTAAGACAACCCATAGCTTTTTTTAACGGCATCGTTCACCGAGTCCTCTAGGATGTCGGCAGCGGTTGCCTTTCCCCGATCCACCAGCGGGCTGGCAGCGTACAGAGCATGGTCGTGCGTCAAAAACCTATAGACGTCCCCCAGCGAGTGCGAATACTTCTTAGACAACGCGTCAACGCTCCTCGCGCTCGAGGCCTCTCGCTCCTTGCGGGCAGCGATCGCTTCCCGCGCCATGCCCACGTTGGGCGATTCCAGATAGTACAGGTCGTAGGCCGGAAACCCTTCGCCGAAACCACCGGCAGCCACCCCCATCGCCACCGCCGGTGGAATCGAAAAGATCCAGTCGAATATCGCCCTCGTGCGGGCCATGTGGAATTCGTTGGTTATCACCAGCAACTTTCTCCATCCGTTTTGATCGGTGTGGCTCGTTCGGGCAAAGTAGGCGTTTCCGATCGTGTCGTAGGACGATGTTTCGACAAAGATCGATTCCGGCGGTATCAACGAAGGGGTTGTTCCCAGCGATGCCCCGGTGCCGTTGTTGGTCCGGTGGCTCTCGCGGAGAATGTACGCAGCGCACGCCGTCGACTCCCAAATGGGCAGTCCGTCGGCGGACAAGAGCTGTGGCATGTGTGCCGTCCCCGCCGACAGGCAAAGAATCGGCAGCTGGTGGTCGACCTCTTTGGCTCCGTGGTGCTTGTGCTTGTGCTTGTGCTTCGTGTCGTTGGCGTAGCTCTCGGACCGTGTCCGGACGATTTCCATGGCGTCATCACACCGCCTCTCGACGTAGACCGGCGGTCGATCGATTGCTCTCGGTTTGCCGCCACCGAGCACCAGAATCGCATCGAAGGAACGGATCAAGTCCATCGGAACGTCTCCCGGGGAGTCGAACAAGCGTTCTCCGCTGTACGAGTCGGTGTTTGTTTGCATACGGGTGCTATGAAGTGGGGAATAATCGTAGGCAAGAGGAACAGCTAAATAGCGAAGGCATCCCACCAGAGCCAACGAAAGGATACCAAGAACCACTGAATGCCGAAACGACCACCTTCTACGGCGTTTCTCCAGAGACGTCAGGAACTCCGACCGCTGTCGTAGATGCCTTGGTATTGTCATCTTCACCGCACGTTTATTTTTCCCAATGTATGTGACTCCTTGTGCTAGTTAGGTATTGTACTGAATCCACTTTCGTGCCGTCTCTCGTGCGCTCCCTTGCCGATTGTTACTGCGATCCCTTTGGGTTTCTCTCTGCGAAATCACAAATCACGTAGAACGAAGGTCCGTAGATTAGGTAGATTGGATAGTAGTATTAGTACGAACGTACTGCACAGTACTTTATGAATTTATGAACTCAGGGGCGGATAGATGATGTACCGGCGCTGCTGCTACAGTACGTACCGTATGTACTCAACTCGTACTCGTACTCTCTTGCGTTGCGATGCCATGCAAAACGCTATTTTACCGGTATGTTTTCTGTTTTCGCGGAATGATAGCGGAATTCATTCTTTGTCTGAGTCTGATGTCTGATCATAACACCTCAATGTACTTTTATATACTATGACGATATGTATAGGCGTCATAGGATACGGTACATACCGGTACGAACCTATTAACTCAAATGGTAAGCATTCGGGAATCGTTTTCTACAGCAGTACTCGTACAAAGTCTACTGAAATTCTTGAGAATCATGTCATAAAAAAATTGATCCTTTTCCCACGAATGCAACCGTCTCTTCGATCGAAATCCAAAAATTCCGAAACCTACCGCCCCAAGATTTTCTTTCTTGTTCGTTTTGTGTGTGAACGAGTGAAAGCAGTCGTCCATACCGAACACCGGATCGTATTCCCAAGACCCATGCATCCATACTATATTGCTCTGGCTTGAATCAGGGTTCAACGTCACGGTTCACATCGGATCGCATGCATCGTGTCATGCGATGGCAACCAATCGAAGGCAACACAATATTTCATCACAAAAAGTTAGTTTTCTTGTTGGGTTCTTGTGTTTGAGCTCGGGTGCTTGATTCATCCTCGCTCGACCAATTCATCAACAAACGAAATCTGGGAGCCCTTTCACGGACCAAAACCATGAACAGAGTGGTCCTCCTTGCGTCGAGAGCTCCGCGGGGTACGACCATCCCGCTGCAAACCAAATCCCCCGCCCTGCTCCGAACAAACACTTTCCGGTCGGCAGGAGCGATCGACCCGGCAGCAACGATTCCGGCGGCGAGGGGTCGTTCGATCGCGACAGCTAGCAATCCCGCAGAAGAAAGCGGTACTGGCGAGAGACGCAGCATAAGCATGAAAACCCATCCCCCGTTTGGATCGGCACCAGGGCCGAGGGCAGTCGGGTTCCCACCGGCGATAGCCTTCCGTCGACAAGACGCCCTCCACGACCAGCAACGCCGCTTCTTTTCTTCCCCTCCTCCGGGGGCCGGCCAGAGCCTCGGAAGCATCTTCGGGACCGATCCATCGGGAGGTTCGTACCTGGAGGACTTCACCATCGATCTGACCGAAATCGCCAGGGGTGGGAAGAAACAGGGAGGCGCCGATTCCCCCGGCGGGAACGGAAGCGGTGGCAACACGAAAATGGATCCCATCATCGGCCGGCACGAAGAAATCGGGCGCTGCCTACAGATACTGGCCCGGCGCACAAAGAGCAACCCGATTCTCATCGGGCAGGCGGGGGTGGGCAAGACGGCCGTCGCGGAGGGCCTCGCCCAGCGCATCGTGGGGGGCCAGGTGCCGGAATCCATGAAGCACAAGCGGGTCCTGAGCCTGGACGTGACCGGCCTGGTGTCGGGTGCCTACATGAGGGGACAGTTCGAGGAACGCCTCAGGGGCATCCTCAAAGAAGTGACCGAGTCGGACGGAAGCGTCATCTTGTTCGTAGACGAAATCCACCTGATCGGAACGGCCGGAAAGGGAGAAGGCTCGGTGGACATGGGAAACATGCTCAAGCCGGCCCTGGCGCGGGGTGATTTGCAGCTAATCGGTGCCACGACCCTCGACGAGTACCGCATCCTGGAAAAGGATCCGGCGCTGGCCAGGCGGTTTCAGGCCGTCTACGTCGACGAACCTTCCGTGGAAGACACCTTGTCGATTCTGCGGGGCCTCAAGCCCCACTACGAGCTGCACCACGCCGGCATCCGAATCAAGGACGAGGCCCTCGTCGCGGCGGCCGAGATGAGCGACCGGTACATCACCGATCGGTTCCAGCCCGACAAATCCATCGATCTCGTGGACGAAGCCTGCAGCCAGCTCCGACTGGAACAGGAATCCAAGCCAGAGGTCTTGTGGAAGGTCGAGCGGGACCTCATGACGAAGCAGATCGAAATGAGTGCATTGCAGGGAGAAGACGACAAGAATTCCATCAAGCGCAGAGAGACGGTAGCCTCGGAGGTAGAGGAATTGAAGCAGCGAGCCCAAAAGCTCACCGAAATGTGGCAGGAGGAGCGAAATTCCCTCACGCGCGTCAAGGATCTCAAGCAGGAACTGGCAGAAGCCCAGCAGGAAATGGAAATTGCGCGATCCAAGGGGGACTTTGCCAGAGCCGGGGAACTCCTGCATTCAAAAATTCCGCATTTGAAGCACGAATTGGAAGAAACGGAGAAGGAGGAAGACGATGCGTCAGCCACGCAAGGCAGCCGCCTCTTGAATGATTCTGTCGATGCAAGTGCCATTGCCGCAATAGTTGCTCGATCTACTGGGATTCCGGTATCCAAAATTACGGGAACAGAGTCCCGGAAGCTGCTTGACATGGAGGACAAATTGCGACAGCGTGTGATCGGCCAGGATCATGCACTGCAAGCGGTGTCCAATTGCGTGCGATTGTCGCGCACGGGGTTGCAGGCACGGGACCGGACCCTCGGAAACTTTTTGTTTGCCGGACCGAGTGGGGTTGGAAAGACGGAACTGTGCAAAGCACTGGCAGAGTTCCTCTTTGATGACCAAAACGCAATGACTCGCATCGACATGTCGGAGTTTGGTGAAAAACATACCGTCTCTCGATTGATCGGATCTCCACCCGGATACGTTGGATACGAAAAAGGCGGAGTTCTTACCGAAGCAGTCCGCAGACGTCCATACCAGATTCTTCTGCTCGACGAGTTCGAGAAGTCGCACCCGGACGTGTGGAATCTACTGCTGCAACTGTTCGACGACGGTAGACTGACCGACTCTCATGGCCGTGAGGTTGACTTTTCGAATGTGATCGTTGTCATGACCTCAAACATGGGAGCCCACGTCATATCAGAATTGCCGAGCCATCTGAAGGGAAACGAACCAGAGGTCAAGGAATCCATAATGAACGTCGTCCGCAACACTTTGAGCCCAGAGTTGCTGAATCGCATCGATGAAACAGTGATCTTCAACCGTCTTCAACGCGAACAAATGGGTCAGATCGCCGGGATTCACCTCGAGGACATCGCGACGCGTTTGGAGGAAAACCATGGCATGGCATTGAAAGTTAGCAAATCTGCTCAAGCTTGCATCGAAGAGCACGGTTTTGACATTCGATACGGTGCGCGCCCGCTAAAACGAGCAATCACAAAAGATATATTGAATCCATTGAGTAAAGCCATTCTTGGAGGCGAGATTCGTGATGCGGATCTTGTTCGTGTTGTGACCCGTGGAGAGGCCATCAATCTCCAGAACGAAGAACGCCATCTTGGATGGGTGACAGGTGCTGACCCCAGATCCACGGATAGAAACGACGTTGTTCTTCTGAAGAATCACGAGGCTTACACGGACGACGATATTTCTGGTTCTGGAAAAGTGTCCGGGGAAGATGATGACTACTATAGCGACGAGTGGAGAGCCTGATCAATAAGCACAAATAAATACACAGTAATGTTAAATAATGTATGATGCCCATTTAACTGTAAATGGCAAAACTTGAATTCATTTTCAAGTGATCTCAGTCGTTTAACATTTTGATTGGACAAGCATTCTCCAAATTAAGATTGCAGGATCATGTCTGGATATGTTTTCACAACGCTTCCTTCCATTAGAAGGTGTGGGTACCTTTCTCAAAGAAGAGTATTTCGGATTGCCTTGTATCTACTACCAGTAGGTCCAATGAATTCCAAATATTCATCAAAATCAATAGTTCCACTTTGATCGATGTCTGCAGCTTGCTCAACTTCTTCGCTTTGAATTTTGGAAAGAGTTATTCCATACGAATAAAGTGCTATACGCAATTCCTTTCGCGACAGTTCTCCATCACGGTTCGTGTCCATGAGATAGAAGGACTGCTTTGCATCCTTCAACCAATCTTCACCACGTTTCTGGATCCATTTGTCTTCCACTCCATTCGAGGAGCAAATTGGCATTAGTGCCTCTTCTTCTGCGTAAGTCATTTGGCCAGCTACGTCAACAAGATGGGTCTTGTAGAACGTGTAGAAATCATAAAGTGCGTGCGTTATGATTGGCACGGCTAAATTCCCTGTTAAAAGATACAAAGTACAAAACGTTCCTCCGTTAATGATTTGCAAAATCAACAGTGAGAAATTATCGATGAATGAATCTTTGCCCTTGAAAAAACCAAGAGGGTTCGTATGAAGTACTGCAAACAGCAAAGTCGAAAGTAATGCTCCAGTAAAAATGTCGCCATTGCCGTAGGCATTTGCAAATCCTGGAAGAGCTATAGATTTGAGCAACAGATATATATTAATAGTGAGTGATAGTGCCAAATCAGAAAAATATGTGTTTTCTTTCACCAGGAAAACCCACCTTGCCCACGAAATACGGTTTCCTCAACAATTCCGGTCGATGTCGCGAGCAAGAGGGAGACCAAAAACGCCATTATTGGTTTTTTCCTCGGTCCAAATATTCGCAAAACAGCCATATTGGTAGACAAATTTAAGCCGGAAACAAATGGCGATTCGGATGTTTCGATAGCTCGCGATAGCTGAAGCAAAGGAATCAAACCGGCAACGCCAAAGATGATTGCTCCCGGGCCAAAATGTGCTTGGTCGGAAAGCAATCTGAATCCAGTCCCTCCGGTCCAAATTTGGTAGCCAATCAGAGCCTGATTGGCTACGTTCTGTAGAACTAGCTGGTAGTTGATTGATGTCGACCCCTCATCGAATGACGGCGGTTGTTCGTCTCCTTCCGTGACCATGAACAATGGATACCGAGCACCAACACGTGCTGGTGAAATGTAGGGATCTATATTCGACTCTGCTCTGCCTTTGAAAGCTAAGGCATCACGTTGCTTAATAATCTCTTGACACCGGTGATTCCCTCTATGGAATGGAGTCCGGTGAATGATGTTAGGATCAAATTGAAATCCATAGACGCGAGCCCACGGCTGCTGTTGATAAAGATGGTGAAAACCCAGAAGTATCAAGGCGACGGCGCTGGTGGAAAACTTGTTCTTCGTCATCATTGGTTTTTTAATGCTTCGAAGACTTACTTCATCTAGAAGTAGCAGACGAGTTCTACCTGTTCCTCGGAGAGCTTCGGTTTTCCTACTTCCTTTTCTTTTGAAATTAGATGCAAGTATCGTGGTCACATGCACAGCACACGTACCGTACCGTGCTCTTTTCCCGGGAACTCGTACCCAACGTGGTCAGGTGTATCTTGACGGTGTCCTTGCGTGCGAGTACGTATCTACTCTATCGTATGGTACCGGATTTGGTGCGGTATCTTCCAACGAGGAACATGCTTTTTGGAGAAATCTTTCAACACGGAATTCTGTTGGAGAAATCTTTCAACACGGAATTTCAATTCAACACGGAATTCATTTTTGTTCCAGAGACGAAGCCTCGTGTTGCGCCTCTCTTAAAATCGTAAAAAATTGTGAACCCTTGAATTTGAGAACATTAAGTGCAGAGAGTCAATCCCGAATCCACGTTTAATAGTAATATTTAATATTAGTACTATTACTATCATACTAGTAGTGGAAAAATGAACAACAACAGTAATGGGTCATTCCCGATAACATATCTGTGTAAATTTTGGCACGCCCGGCTCGCATTATGACCCAAAATACATAAAAGTTGGTTGTCGTGGGCCACGACAACCAACTTTTATGTAATTTACATATTTTTTAGTTGGAATCCTTGACTTAACCATTTCCAGTCTCGGGAGTAGTTTCGGAGAAGGATTCAGTTTCGGAAGTTCGGAAGACAGACCTGCCAATTCTGTCCTCGTGAAAATCCCAAATTGTTGGAATCTTGTGAAATTAGCGAGCAAATTATACAGGATTCCAAATTCCAAAAATGGAGGGAAAATATGTAAGTTGAGCCGGCCGGCTGTGCCTTCAGTACCACTGAAAGTGATTCCCGAAAACATACCTAGATATATGTTATCGGGAATGACCCAATACTACTACTAGTACTCGTACTACTACTAGCTATATACTAAAACTAGTAGTATTTGTATCTGCTAGTAAGTAGACGTCTTGTTGTTGGCCGTTTTGTTGATCCTTGTCCTCTCTTGACTTCATACACCAGCAGTTCCTGCTGTGTCAACATATGATCATGGATCCAGATGGGATAGTACTCACTAAAAAGAAAAAATAGATCTCAAGACTCCTCCTTCTTGTTGTTGCTACTACTGCTGGGGGCATGATCATACTACTAGTACTAGAACTAATACTAATAGTGTTAGTACTGATGATAACTGATGTTGTTAGTATATTAATATTCTTCTCAAATACTACTACTACTACTACT